ATGAGATGTCTCGAAGAACCTGCTCAAACTCTTTCACTGCCGAAGTAGCTAAGTCAACGGCATAAATAGCCTGCGATCCGATCGTGGCAGATGCATGCCTGCCCAAAACTGATCTTACTGGTTCGCTTGTCCCGAACTTGGAGCACCAGGCTAGTGGAGTGCGCTTGAGCGAATGCGAAGAGATGCGCTTCAGGCGCTCTTCATCACACACCGGGCCCAATGCGATCCTCAAGAATGACGTGATCTCCGCTGCTCTGATCTCACGCTTAGACAGCATTTCACCATCTGCAGACATGGGTGCCCTCAGAAGCGGGCCCTCAACTTTGCCCTGGACCTCCATGCCCACAGCGCTGAGAGCGTCCAGCGCCGAAGACACCCATTGGGTGCCAGTGACGCCTATCGCTGGGATCAGAACTGGAAGAAGCTTCTTCGAACGTGCAGTGACATTGTTCGTCTTATGCATCCCCAGATACAAGACCACATACCCAGAAGACTCGCTGAACTCATGCTCAATCCACTGGATGTCCGAAAGGTCGCTGTTTCTACAACGCCCATAGAGCGCAAAGAGACATCTGGCTGCCATGGCCCTATCGAAGCTGTGGGCTCCCCGGTCTTCCACCATGGTGTGCAATCGGCATGTTTCGCCCACTGTCAAGGCTTCAGCTTGACGCAACCAATGGACCCCAACAGACATTTGTTCCGCAATTCCACATACCCGCCGGCTCTGCAAGACATCGTCCAAGTGGAAGCCAAGCACATGGTGAAGGAAGCGCATTGCACTGACGATCCCAGCCCCTTTCGAGGCCGCTGCACCTGCCCTTTTGAGGTCGGTCATATATGCCCACAGCGACGCTTCTGACAAGCAGTCTGACTCTGATGCAGGGCCGTTAAGGTACCATCTGAGGAATGTGTTGAAGGCATTCGCACGCTTGTCTATCGTCCAAGGGGAGCGAGTGCCGACAGCAGCCGTCACCGATTCTGGATCAACCTTCCCGCTGCGCTGCAGCGTGCAAGGAACTAAAGTTCTGGGGCACAAGCCGGAGGCACGCAACCAACTTACCTAAACTAACTTCCAAGACCTCAGCACGCCTCTCGCGGAAGGATAGGTTCTTAGTGGCTTTGATGGCCACTGCGAAAATCGGTTTACCTTGAAGATACACCTTGGCGCTCACAGCTACGTGGGTCGTTTCTTGATGGGTTGGCTCCTGGGGCACAAGGAGCCTTTTGGCAATCAAGGGCATCTTAGGTACCGTTGGCAGTGATGGCAAGGATTCACTGAAGACGGCGCGCATGGGGCCGCGCTCCCACGGAAACTTCAGTTTGCTCAGTGACGGATTCGAGACCAACTCGGTCGACACCACGGCAGCCACATCAACAAGCGGTGCTATCATGGGCTCCTGAGGGCTGGTAGTGAAAACCCCGGCTACAGGAGGTGTGATCAAGCTTGCATCTGATCCTACCGGTCGCCAAGAGGAGCTGGATCCTGCAGCTAGCTGCTCTAAGTGTTTATCGAACTCACTCAAAAGCCCTGCCTCGGTTTCAGCTACTTCCTTATAATGCTGCCATTCTGCCGAAGGGTCACAACTTTCTCGTTCTTCCCAGCCTTCCGGTTCCAAGTCTGGTGAGGGATCCACATTTTCGGGCTCGGAAGTGCCCGCCAGGCCTAAACCACAAGAAAGTTGAAGGTCTACACCACTAGGAACCGAAGGGGGGAGTGGTGGAAACTCGGGTCGGGGCTCTGGGTTTTCTCCACTGTCTACACCACCGAGCGGCTGCTCGTTCGACGTCTCAAGCTGTTCTGAAGGGTCTGCTACCCCTGCCGCAAGTTGGTCTGCAGGCAGAGGTGTCAAGATCTCAACTTCTGGCGCAAGATGGTCCGAAGGCAGAACCGCAACCCCCCGATTATCCGAAACATGGCCCGTAGCATCAGGCACCGAGTGAGCCGCCTCGGGCGCAGCTGGAAGCAGGCGCGGGAGCGCACCTGTTGCTGAGTCAGACATGACGATATTGCAGGGCAGGATCACGGAGGGCAATACGGTAAAACGATGTGCGGGCTGGATCTAGCACGAAGGCAGCTGTCTGCAGAAGGGCTCCGCGCGCTCGAAATGATAGAAAATTAAGCAGCACTGCGCAGGGCCGTGGGGTAAATGTGATATCCCCGAGATCAAGAAGAACCAAAGTGGAAGTAGCTGTGCTGGCACCGACTGAGCTGGCTGATGGAGACTGCAGAGGACTTGGGCGCAAGCGGTACTCCAAAACTGTGACCCTGAATTGCAATGCAGCGATCTGATCCTGCAAGTCCTCCCGCAGCACACGGAGGTCCTCTGAAAGCACGGCGCTGGGACCCACGGAGGTGGAGTCACTCATGAGGCACGAAGCCGATGTGTTGCCCTACAGAAGACTAAGTGTAGAAATGTGATGCTGAAGTAATGTCCAGACACAAAAAATTTCTGCCCATGCCCATGTTGCATGCTGTTTTCACTTGCTCCCTTGAGCATGACCTCGCGGCGGTGCACACAAGTAATCACATGCTCGGCTGCACACAGAAGTGTTCAAAGCTTGCAAGAGAAAATCACTTTGCAAATTTTCTTTCCAACTCAATCGGAAGAAGTAAAACTAACCTAGTTTTACAAAACAACCACGAAAATTAAAGCGCTATCAACCCGTTGACCGCTAGCAGAAGCAACCATTCCCACTGTCTCCAGCAATGATAAACTTGCCATGATCGAATTCGGCACAGTCTTCCCCAGCGGCACGTTGCCATGCCTCTCTTCCAGGTACTTCAAGACCATCGCTGCCGAATCGGGCCAAGTCTTGCCATATGACGTCATCAGCCAGTCCCGGAGTGGTTTCCACGCCCTTGCACGATTACGCAAGGTCTTTCCCCTGCGACTTCCGAACACTCGCAGCCACTGTTGATTTCCGTCGCCCAATGCCTCCATCCGGGCCGCACACGGTAGCTTAGATTCTTTGATGTAGCCCACGAGTTCAAGCGCCCACCGCTCCTTGAGCCGGGCTTCCAATTCCTCGCGATTCCCACCAGCTTTGCTCACCCGCACTGCACGTTGAAGCAAGGCGACTGCTACAGCCGGCGTCGTGCTCACGACCTCATCAAAGACATCTTGCATGCTCACCCCAGGCCTTGGCACCTGAACTGGCAATTCTGGCACTGTTCTCTGCAGCAGACGAGATGTTGGCGGCTCCCTCCGCTGCCTTTTCTCTCGCCATTGCCAAAGTGATGTAGAGATACGATCCACCTCTGCTGAAGGCTTTTTATCTCCCAGTAATTCGGCAACCATCACTGCTGCACCTGCCTCATCTTCAAAAGCACCGTCGAACTGTACCAAAGAATGATAGCACTTCTGAACTTCGCAAGCCAGTTCTTCACTAACAGCAGTTAGACCACGCCAGTCGGCCGGCCTCTTCTCCGGAGGCATGCTGGCATGAAGCCCAGCCCATCGCTGAGCCAACGGTCTACTGCCCCCCACTCACAAAATTGTCTCGGACCCGAATTGGCCACGGAGGAGAATCATTCGTTCGGCAGAACTCCCAGCTGTGCAAACTCAAGGCCGTTGGCAACCGAATGCAAGCAAAGGAATAAGCGAAGTGCAATCGAGAAAATTCCATTTCATTTTCTTACACAACTTTTCCCCCGGCCCACCCGCCCGGCTCAAACTACGAGACAATCCTTTTGGGAAACCCAAACGGTGAGACCACAGCGAGCTCCACAGGCGCTGGATGCCTAATCGGTGCACTCCTGAAATAATCCGCAGCCCTGCGAGGGGCCGGAACAGGGGCAGGGTTCTCCCTAATGTACTGCGTCGCAAGTCGAGGCCTCACTGTGGGAGGTGACAAGGGATTGGGCTCAATCGAGACTCCACGAGGTCGCCTAGAAGCTTCTGACAGTCGCACCGGACGCATGGCCCCCCAAAGTGAGGGCCGACTCACATGCTGCAGTGGCATGAGTGGCTGCACAGCTTCACTCGCTCCCTCTGAACATGGCCCCATTGAACTCAAACGCCACCAAACGACAGTCAGACCGGGGCCCCGCCCCACGATGCGAAGAGAACCACCTGGCAGCCGGAGCAGCTAGGAAAGTGACATGTGGAAGCGCAGCACGGTGGCTACCAAGACCGACTGATTTGCGGAGTTCAGGCTACCAGCGAAACCCGCAACTCCTGTAAACACAGCCCAACACGGCCTGATGCAGAACATGAGGGGACACCCCCCCCTGCTACGTGCACGCCTAGATACTAGAAACCACTGTGCTAGTGCAAGCATTCAGCTTAACGTCAGATTATGAATCCCTTATTTCCAACTATTCAGGTAAGGCATACACATAGCAAGTGCAACAAAGCTCGGCAGTCGGACTCCTTCTTTTTCAATCCAAAGCGGGGTGTGTTCGGTGAGTACGCAGCTAAGAAAAGGTGCACACACCAGCATGGATGCACACATCCGACAAGATGAACGGCACACCGTCATCACTCACCCACCCCAAGGGAGGGCGGGCGGGACAAAAATTCTTCCCAAGCTGCACACAGCCAAAACTGCAACATCAAACATGAATGTTGAGCAAGTCGTCAAACGACACATGCTTCAAGTCATGCAAACATGTCGCCGGTAGTCTGCAAAATAAAACAGCAAAGGCGACACCGACAGAGAATAGTTTGGGAAATAAAATGCTGTCTCGCAAGCGAGAAGGCTTATTTATTTCCAACTATTCAGGTAAGGCATACACATAGCAAGTGCAACAAAGCTCGGCAGTCGGACTCCTTCTTTTTCAATCCAAAGCGGGGTGTGTTCGGTGAGTACGCAGCTAAGAAAAGGTGCACACACCAGCATGGATGCACACATCCGACAAGATGAACGGCACACCGTCATCACTCACCCACCCCACTCAAGGAGATGACGGTTAGGAAAGGGTTATGATGGACTGCACCAAGCCGTCGAAAAGAGCTCTCACGCACGGCTCTGTAGCTGCACGACTACGAGGAAGCATACTATTGTCCTTACCTCTACTGGGGTGGTCTGCTACATTGCTGCATGACGGGACACGTGCCAGCCAGGGTAGCACTGTGTGCGATTCACAAGTCTTAGCGAAGATATGACAGATCCGCGTGATAGACCAAGACGATGAGCAGCCTTTGATCAGCGAAATCCGGGCACCTTCATTGTCAAGATATGCCACACATTCGGTGGACTTCAAGTGTTCCTCCCACAACTGGAATGCGAGTACAACCGCGATCGCTTCCAGCTCGCCGATGCCTGTCTCCGCTTTCAAGGGCAGCAAAGGGCGAACGTCGGTGCTCTTCAGGAGCAGTGAAAACCACCCAACTACGGAACCCGAAGGCGAGATCAACACGCCACCTAAACCTCCGGTATAGTCAGGCTCAAAACTCGCATCGGTGTACACGAACCATGGCAGGCCTAGCGGCTTGTGAATCCTTCTGGGCTGTCCTTCAAGTATGCGAGCCATCAGAAAGCTCAAGGCATCGGCCGTGGCAGCACTCAACTTTGGTACAAAAGGGTATGCATGCACGTGTGCACTGACGTGCTTGAGGGCGTAATGCCCGGCTTTACCCATAACCTGCGAGTTTGCAAAAGCAAGTTTGCCACGCAACTCCATGCCACCCTTATAAGAGAGATGGCCCTCGACTAGCACGTCTGAAACCAAAGCATGGATGTCCTTCTTCCTCTTCTCGGTGTTGTCCACCATGATGACACCATCCCCGCTCTCAGACAAGTCGAAGTGCAATCCAAGAGCCGATACTTCTCGAGAGAAGGTGTCGGCTTTCGGGCCCACTGTGTCAAATACCCACCCTAACAACTGGAACAGAAGCTCCATCGTGCTCCCGGTGTTGTCTGCTAGGCAGTCGGGCGACGCGACTATGAAGTCGTCGTAATATGAAGTCGTGGGCACAAGGAGGCAGCGCGTCGCTAACCATTGGATGCAACGAGAGCACCTGATAAAGCCGTTGACCGATGCTCGAGAACCGAACGGGAGGCAAATTTGTGTGAAGAGGCATGTCTTCCCCGTGTGAGGGTTGTAAACGGCAATCACGGCAAACTTTCTGGAGGCAGTGGAAACACAAAGCTGCCGATATGCAGCGGTCAAGTCGAAAGAACGGCCTTTGATCCAAGGGTCCAAGAGGGTCGCTTGGCCCTTCCGAGTCCCTCGCACAGTTTGGCAAACATGGCAGCCGCCACATCCGCAGTGTCAACTGTGGGCTGCTCTAGCGTGGTAACGCATGCATTCACCCCGCTGCGGCTGTAGTCGTCAATGGGCCGCAGCCTGTCGTGCTGCCACAAAGGGAAGCGATGCGAGACGACATACCCGTCGGGCAAGTCATCCCAACCATATGGGCCCACGAGCCAGCCCTTCTCTACCTCCTGCATCGTCTTTTCCCACAACTTCAAGTCGGTAGCGTGATCACCCGATGAACCAAGCGACATCCGGAGGGCTTCATTTGCGCGGCCCGCGGCAGCGCTGACATCGTCAGGGTGGAGGGATGCTGGAGACACTAGCACGTTCGACACTGGCGATGTCCCCACAAGGTCGAAACCTGATCTTATGTCACTAGCCAAGCTCACATCCTCATAGCCCTCGCTCGAGATAATCTCATCCAACAGTTGTAGACGCTTGCTTCGCAGCACCTCCCTCATGTGAGGGTCCTCGATTTCCCACATAGGGTCAGGACGCACACCTATCTCAGCAGCGCGGGCAGTCCACTTATCCAGCCACTGCTTGCGCCGCTGGACGACGGCACTCGGTGGGGCCTTCGCCAACAGATCTATGCAAGAATCAAGGTGTGCCGGCAACGAGTCGATCATCGCCTTAGGGTGACCGGCCTTCACGGCTGCACGCACGAACTCACTTTCAGTATGATACACGCCAAAAGTCACGGTACACTTCTCACGATCCCGCTCCTTGGCAAGACCAACCTGTGGGTGGTCAGCCATCTCGACCTCAGGCGGCGCAATGGCTGGCAGGATCGATGGGCTGTGACCTGGCAGCGGAAAGCCCAGGTCAAGAAGAAGCCTAGTGTCACTCTGTTTCAGCGACGAAAGATTTCTCGGAGTAAAGCCGATCAAGACGATTCTTGATCCAAGCCAGGGCATTGTGCAATGAAAGCGGTGTGCATCAAAATGCACGGGGCCCTCGCAAACTTGCAAGACACGGCCTCTGGATTGGCCGCATGGTGTCATCCGGGAATGATTGCCATCGTCATCTTGCACCCAAATGCCTCCATCTTTGAAAGAGGTGAGGGGAGCAACGTAGTTCAGTGTGCCCTCCAAGTTGTTCAAATCCCTGTGCATCGGAGTGCAAACGTTGGAATAAAAGGCAATCGTCGCGAAGCACGCACCTGGGAAACATCCACGCAAGTACCTGACAGCAGCAGAGACAACACGAGGGAAAGCTCTGGTATGCTTCCGCAGACCACATAGCTTATTCTGGGAATAAGCTCCCGCAGTCCAAGCTTTCTCACGAGCATCATCAACGCCACGCGCTGGCACTTCGGCTGGTAGGGCCTCGAAGATACTGACAAGGCCGCTGGCATCCACCCTAGCATCAAGATTCGAGGCCAGCATCTCTGCTTCACACTCGGTCGCACATAGCAGCGAGCCTGAACATGTAGGGCTTAAAGCTAAGGGAGCAGCACCGTCTAAACCCGAAGGGGAAGAAAGGAAGGCGGGAGAACCACAACCAGGAGGTGCTGCTCGCCCATCAGATTGCACACAAGGGGTTGTATCGGTATCGCAAGAGGGATGAACACTATCACCGGCAGCACCCTCTAGACCCGAAGAGGAAGTGAGGGCACTAGCGAAACCACAAGGAGTTGGTGCTGCCTGCTGCACACCACCTGACATGTTCGAGGCATCTGGATTGTGTTCGTCGAGCGATGCATCAACCTGCGAAGCGCGGTGCACCTGGTTGCAGATCAAACCTCCCCCTTCTACCCGATCGGCAGCCAGTTGAGAAAGAGGCGGCACAAGCTTGGAACCAGCAGGCACAACAGTGTCCTGCACGCGAAGAGCGGACAACAGCCGGTTTTTGGAGTCCAGAGGTGGACAATGCGGCACGGCAACTTGCACAAAACGCTTAAACTCTGGAACTGGGGCCAGAGGGAACCGGCGCGGTTGCATCCCTGTAGCAACCTGAGCTGCAGCAAGTGGTGGCACTGGCGGGGTGCGAACGTGCAGATGCTCAAGCATGACTGATGCAAGCGCACGGTAGAGCTGCCCCAGCGCAATGTCTGTGGAAGGCTTTTGGCGACTGGCAGCCGCTAAGCTTGCACAGGACCGAAGGACGAGTGGCATGGAGGATGCAAATCGAATGCAACCCGGTGTTGGAGAGCCAAAGGCTTTAAGGTCGATGTCGACCGATGATTCCAGTAAGCTCCTGCCGAAGTCTGTTGTCCAGAACGATGACCTCGAGGCAGCTTCCACTGTCCAAGGCGTCCCAGTATCATTGCAGTGTTTCAAAAGCTGAGAGATTGTGTACACACACCGGTCAGCATCGTCACAAGAAGGATGCGAAGATTTCTGACGATTTGGAAAGATAGAACGCGGGCACCTGATATGCACCCAAGCACATGAGGGTTCGCGGGCCCATGACGCACAAAGGGCCAGGCCACCCGGAGACAGAATATCCATTGGAACGATCGGAGCCGCAGCTGCCTGTGAGCAACCCTTGCCAACTGCAAAGGAGTTTGGCAACCCCATTCGGAGACAACCACACAAGCAGGCACGACGAGCAAAAACTTCAACGCAAAATGCGCTTGCACTGCAAAATTTGCCGTCGTCTGACGGCTGGCTCTGTTGTTGCACAGGTACCTCACACTCTTCGGGAACAGCATGCGCAATGAGGTCACCTGTGCAGACTGCATGTCACTCAGAAGTGGCCGACTCATGCTCGGACATGGGATGCGATTTGTAACAGCCCGGCTTGCAACACACATGCTTGAACTTGCACTTCGCACCTGCCTTGCACTTTCCAAGATTAAAGTTGAAACAGATGGGTTTGTTGTCGGGCGTCCGCGAGTGCATACCCTTCAAGGCATCTGGTATCGGGTCGCGGGTAATCTTCAACTTCTTGTTCTTGCCATCGCCTGTTGTGTCCTAAGTGCGCTTCCTTCCATTGCCTTTGTCGCCGGGCTTGCCGGAGCCCTTGCCCTTACCTTTGACAGGTAGCAGAAAGTACATGACCGATTGGTTGTACTCCAGCTTCTCAAACTCTTTGTCGAGCGGGAGCACGCCTTTTGCGTCAGGCTTCAGATTCCCATTGCACGTGCGAGCAAGCTCCAGAAAGCATTGCCGGTCTGCCCTCAGCACCTGTGCTCTCGAGACCTTCTGGAACTCCGGTGGTGGGTCCTGGCTCATAATGCGAAAGAGCCGTTCATTCCACTTCTGCACCATATCATAAGAAGCCAAGCCAACAAGGTCCATGGCCAGTGCCCGTCTCATCATGGCCTGATAAAGCTGCAAATCGCTGTCGACCGACATGGTGGCCAGGGCTTCCTCATCCTTCACCACAATGCCCATTTTGTTAGCATCGAGCTGCAAGGCTTTGGGAGGCTTCTCACAGCAAAGCTCCGCATCACGGGTGATGCACTCACCGGGGGAGAGGTAGCTCGTCGTTCTCGCGCATGTTTGCGAGCTTGTCATACACGCAGTGGGCTACGGACAAAGGGCCCTCCAACGGGAGACCCTTAAGGCGTTGCTTCTGATCTTCGATGCGCATTGAGCGCTCCGACGCCGGAAGCTTCCGGGACACCTCGTCACTGGACTGCATGGTAGCTCGGAGCTCAGCAACTGTCATGGTCTGAGCTTCGAAGATAAGCTGTTTTATCGCGGAGCTGTCACCCAAAGTGACTCTCGCACCGGGCCTCAATGTTGCAGTGAAGTTATCCATCTCGTCAGCTGTGGGTTGCGTCCCTGGAAGCGAAACTGCATAGCTCAACTTACCCAGTGTCGTGATGCCTGAAGCTTGCATGGCGGCGATCCACTCCGCTGCCAATCCCACTCTTTCACATTGCTTGTCGAAAGCTGCAGCCGAAGTAAGAATTGAAACCGCCGCCATCCCGCAAGGTCACCAATCTCTACACCGCTGAGAAGTATAATTTGTCAACAAGCGTCCTGGCCTGATCGAGAGAGAAGATGCAAGTTCCCTTGTCCGAATACACACAGAGCTGTCTAAACACAAGTGAACAACGAAAGCATGGACATGACATGTCTACCGTAGGCCTCAGCCATAACTGGTGCATTCACAAAGCACATGAACAGGTGCTGACCATTGCCCAAGCACAGTAAGACCCCAGCTAGACAGTGCATTCACTCATGAAGCGCATGCTGCACACAGCATGGGCATATCAGACTGCACACAGTCGCATCCACACGTCGAGAACGTTTTCATACGCAGCACACGCTATGTGCGATCCATAAGCTCGTTGAGCTTGTTGGCCAAAGCCCCTTGCGAGTCCAGCAGCTCGCCCTTCCAGCACACTGCACACCTAGTCCACTTAAAGTAAGCACCCTCAAGCCACCTGTACACATTGGTCGTCCGTCGGCCACAACGGGTCCTACATGCTGACTTGTCGCCCTGGGCGCGATGCAACATCCTGGACTTGACGTGCTGCCAACAAGGTTCGTTGATCTCATAGTCCTGTTCGACTCCGCATCTCGCAACCAACTGTTCCTCAGTTTCACTGGTCTCAGAAGAACTAGAGCAAGAAGAGGAAGACGAGCTTGCCTGCGACAGGGCAGCATCCTGCGGAGGTGTCGCAGGCACATTACTTGCATGCACATCCGGTGACGATGCACGATCCCCAGGCAATGGCGAACGCACTGAAGGTGGGCTTGCTGAATCATTATCAACCCGATCCCAAGAGCCGAAGTCAAGATCTTGCCCTAAGACCGACGAGTCAGGAGCACGGTTGAATGAGCGATAGTGCTCCAGCTCGCCGTGTTCATCGAGATCATCGCCTTGTACAGCTCCGCTTGCCGCGGACTCTGGAGCATGCACAGTCGGAGCTTCGAAGGGGCACGCATCCTTGGGGTCGTCGAGAAAAGAATCCCGAAAGGCACGTAGATTCTCATCACCTTGCGAGGCTAGCCATCCAGAACGGGTCGCATCGGGCTTGAAAATGTTTGTGCGGACCTCCCATAGCATTCTACGGTAGGCTCTCAGCGGTGCGCTCAGTAACTCTCGGCTGTAACAAGCAAGGGAACTGGAGCCTGTCGCATGATGACCGAGCAGAAGGCCCTCGCGCTCACCAAAACCCCGTTTCCCTGTCCAGGCCAAGGTTGTCCCTTTGAGCACATGAGACGTGCGACGGCTTTCACCTTCCAAGCCTAGGGCGTTGCAAAGCATCGAGCCCGCTTCACTCGAGGTGCATCTCCTCTTACACAGCTTGCCGGAACTGTCCGGGGCACGTACGAGGGGCCCGAAAGGCACTTCCGACCAATCAACCCCAAGCCTCTGACCCGCCTGCCACCAAGCCTTGACCCAGTTTGCATCGGTCACGCCTGGGAAGGGTGCCACAAGCGGCATGGCCCGACGCTTGGTCCGCACCGTGTTGTTGGTCTTACGTTCACGGGTCCTCGCCTCGACGAAACCTGATGTACAATCAGCATCATCACGAAGTCGATCCAGATCGAATTAATTTTCTTCAGGTCCGACCACCTCGATCTGCTGTAAAGAGCAAACAACTCGCCCCCAAGAACGTACGTATCGACATCACAAAGAGCCTCGCTAGCCACAGTCTTTTCAAGCTTCGCCACAAGCTCAACTTTCAGAGGCTCTTGTTGCTTAACCTCGGGTTTTTCACCAGCAAGTCTCCGAGCCCTGCCCTGCAGTCGACGGTCGTTAAGCAGATCATCGCAGAATGGCACATCCATCACATGGTGAGCAAAATTGATGGCCTCAAAAAGACTGCTCACCGCGCTTGCAGACTCTCCAAGTGACTTCACGAAGGCAGTGACCGATTCTCTATCCCAAGGCCATGTCACACTTCTCTCCTTTTGATGCCACCTGAGGCATCGTAGCAAGGCGTTGGCGCGTTTGATCGCTGTGCGGGGCGAACGCAGACCGAAGACGTCCCTGAGAAGTTCGTCCCTGGCTTTTTCACCTTCTGCAACCAAACACTGGGCTGCCTGCACACCGACTGAACCAGGATCCTCATTGGCAAGGGTGAAGATGCAGCACCACTTATTGATAGCTAAAACCCACAAATGTTCTTCCTCGTCCTCAACTGGCACATCTGCTCGCGAATGAAATGATCTCTCAAACAAGCCGGCCGGAGCAGCACGCACTCGAGCTGCTTTGTCCTCGCACGAGGGTTCAGAACCGGAGGCGTCCGGAGGCACAGGAGCCCTGGGCTGTGCAATGGCAGGCTTCGGTAATAAGCCATCTCCAAAGATGCAAGACATGACACCGGATTCCCAAGGTAACCTAGGGAGAGAATTGCTTAGACCACTGACCACTGATCCTGGCTTGAAGCAACACGCGATCAATGTCAGCGTCACAGAGCCTCGCCTCAACCCCACCCCCCGAAGAGGAGGAGAGGCTGGGAAAAGCTGTTGGCTCGCCTGCAGGTGGCATGGATGCCAGCACTAAGGAATGGCTCACGACGCCCGAAGAACTCTGGCTCTATGGGTCCGCAGGCAGGACAGCACGGATTGCCAAAGCTCAGGCTGACTCGAAATCAGCAGTAGCACGGGCGCGCGAGCAGCCATCCGCCGCCCCAACAGGGCAGCTTGCACAGGCCCCTAGTGGGCACCCTTAGCACCTCTAAGGGGGCTGTAGAAATTAGAAAGCGGACTTGGGGCCCACACACAGACAAAAATTCTTCCCAAGCTGCACACAGCCAAAACTGCAACATCAAACATGAATGTTGAGCAAGTCGTCAAACGACACATGCTTCAAGTCATGCAAACATGTCGCCGGTAGTCTGCAAAATAAAACAGCAAAGGCGACACCGACAGAGAATAGTTTGGGAAATAAAATGCTGTCTCGCAAGCGAGAAGGCTTATTGCATGTGCAACACCTGTCGCATGGTGCAATGAACCGCATGAGGCTCTGACCCTAATTGTGGCTCTCAAAGCCCTTTGAGCCCGCCGAGCGCGGAAAAACAAGGAGTTTGCTCACCCCCAACGCAAGAACCAATCAAGCTTGACTGTCACGCATAAGTGCAAAGCATGCTCGCTATGCACCGCATAAAAAGTCCCACAGAAGCTTCTGTGATCGCCGCGACTTTTCACAAACCCCTCGTTGCGCCGGTGCTTGGCAGCAGAAAGACCGCCCTGGCCTAGCTAAAGAGCGCCGAGACCGCCACCTTCCAGGACGGCGGTCGCGTAGCCCCCAAAACTTAAAGATCTCCTTGCCGAAGAGACCAGCCTGCCCTCCAGCAGATATCATAATAATGCCAAAATGGACCAAAAAGAAGCGCAAGCAGCGAGCCGAGTTGCCGATTTGCCTGGCTTGGGAGCTGAGATGCTATGCAAACCGGCTGGGAAGTCGATGAAGCCTTAGGCAGCACGTCGACGGCGCAAAGAAGCAGCAAAGCGGCGAGAAAACTTGCCCTGCAGTACCAAATGAAGAGTACGGCGGTAGTTCCGCAAAGCAAAAGCCTCCAGACTCTCTGCATGGTACAGCCGTTGACCTCCAGATCGTAAGTCGTAAGTGGATGGTAATACCAACCACATGCCACGCTGGCCAGATCCCACCAGCCTCCTGGCATGTCGCCGCAGCAGAGTTAAGTATCGAAGTGAGCGGCTGATCGCTAGCCCAGGAAACGGAGCTTGTCAAAATGCCGTCCATGACAGCCCCAGCATCACCAGCAACAGGTGGGGCGAGTCGCTCCCTGGCACGGAGCTCTGCTGCCCACCGTTTCCCAATGGCCTCAGCCTGGCGAGCCTCCTGACAGGGAGACTCACAGACAACCAGCTCATCACCAGATGCATCTGCAGCGGGGAAGATATCCCCTCCAGGAAAAAGGTCAGCAAGACGATGCTCATTGGTGTCGCTGGGCGACGACAAGTGGCTGCGTGCCACCCGATCGGAGCCAGAACCCAAAAAATCCTCTGCAGCGCCACCTGAAGTCCCTGACCCAGTATCTTGCAGCAGACCTGGAAAGACATCTGAGATGAACCCAGCCGCAGGTGAATCCTCAGCAGAAGCCATTACAGATCTAACGCCCCAAATATACACGCTGCAATCGTCGGCGATCCCCTTCAGCTAAGTCTGAAATGGACAGCAAGATCACCCGCAATGTCCGAGAGCAGTTCTGCAAAGCACCACTTTCCGAGAGGCCTAAAGACAGCAGTATGTAGCTCGAAGTCCTTGTGCCCCCCAAGAATTGACGCAATTCCAGACCCAGCACTGCAGATCTCCAGCCCGTGACCTCAAGGCCCTCGTGCAACAACACGAGTATCAGCCTCCTGCGAGGCACTGGTGCCGCCGCGCGCATGGGCGGCTCCAAACGGAGCCCGAGTCAGCTTAATATACCGAAAATTAAGCATGATCTGTGTGCAAGTGGAAAGCAGCCGTGCAGTCTAAAACTGACCAACAGACATGAAGCAACACCTCCCTAATGCTGATCCACGTCAAAACGCCGAGAAAAAAGTTGAAGCTCGATCTGGAGCCGCCAAGCTTCAGCATTCGAGATGCATCGCCATGCTCCAATCTCAAGACAAGCCGCATGCAAAATGAGGGAATACAAAATTGGAAAAACACCGACCGCAAGGAAAACAAAATGGTTTGATATTTAAACAGGATCGAGTAAACACGATAGCCAATCGAGCTCCACATTGAAAGCTTGCGGACGAAAAGCCTCGGTAAAGTAGACTGCTATCGTAGGGAAGGCTTGCTGAAGCGTCAAGAGCAGCCCGGCTACCCTGGCGTAAGTCTCGTCCAAGCGTATCCTAACGGCGTCCACCTTGGGACTGAGAAAAACCCATGGGGAAAGAAGGCAGCGAAGGCGCGGTTGCTCATGTGCTCGACGGCTATGGTGCCACAAGGCTTGCTGCGCACCGCGGCGCTCGGCTTCCAAAATACCGATGCGAGCTTCCAAAGATCTAAGGCGATCGGCAAGGGACTGTAAAGTCGGCTCGTCAGGGGCTCTTGGCTGAAATCCTGGCTGCAGAGCATCGTAGGCAGAACTGGTATCAGGGTCGAAGGCTAGGGCTAGGGGACTCGACAGGCCCGCATTCATACGGCCCATGGCCGAGAGGTTGGTCACATTGGCAGTCGGCTGGCCCTGATTCCATTGAAGAACAGGGCTGTTGGCATAAGAAGGCCAGGGGGAGCGCTGTGCGCGCTGATCCTGTCGGCGGGGCTGCTGATGCCCCCGCATGATGTCTCAGCCGAAAGAGCTGAACATGCCGGCTGCAGTTGACTGCTTGCAAGGCAGGCAAGGCCCGGGCAGAGGGCAAGGCGCAGATCAAGTAGATCCTGAAAAATCAGCCGAATCGGGCTGACCATCGCAAGAAGAAGAGCTGAAGGCCGGGGAAGCAGAGGGCGGGGCCGAGGTCGGCTGACCTGAAGGCAGAAGGAGCGGTTTGATCTGAAAGCAGGAGTGACAACGAAGACCTGCTCTGACCAGCATCTTGGCGCAGGCCCGAATCGGCTTGGGAGGCTGAGGTGCGGGCCGGGGTTCGAAGAAGCCTGGGGGGGCAGCACGCATGAGAAGAGCCAGCTGCAAAAAAGGGCTCATAGACGGCTTAAGAAAACGGCTTGGCTTAACGGGCTTTCGGGTGGGCTTGTGCTGGCTGAGGCTGCAACGGCCGGCCCGCTGAAGATGCCTGAGAGATAGCAAGGCATAGGCTCCCATGTGCCGTACTCGCAAAGGGCCAACCAGCTGAGAGCCCGGGATGTAAGGCAAGAGGGCCATATCAGCCGCGGGCCTTGGATACGCGCTCGGCGACATAATCATGGCATGCCTTGTTCAGAAGGCACAAGGCAGCCACTTCCGGCAAACAAAAGAATATTGGCACAAGGTGCAACTCCAAAGAAGAGAAGGCCTTCAAGGCTCCAGCCAAGAAAAGGCTCACGCAGGTCCTTGGTAGGAAACCAACGCACCTTGCAGAGAGGCGGCTGAAGGAGCCAGACCAATGCCTCAAAAGGGCTCCAAGGCAGCGGATGGCGATACCGTAATCCTGGCACGGCTGAGTCAAGGCTGGAACCCTGTGAGTTCGACCTGGTGGAGGGAGGAGGGCTGTCAGGGGCTAGCCAGACACTGCCGGAACCCTGGCTGGCTGCGTCTGAAGTTTGAGGGGACAGAGCAAAACGCTCGAAGTACGTGGGGGGAAGGAAGTGGTAACCCCCCCCAAAGGCAAAAAGGCAGGCTGTGGCTGTGGCTGAGCTGCTGGCTGAGCAAATGCTGGCTGCGCTGGCGCCCGGGAGGCCCCCGGTGAAAGCTCAGAGTCCGGCTCCGGCGGCCGGGGCCCGAGCCAGGCAGAGCCCGAAGGCTCGGTGGGCATCTATGGCGCAGTCGACAGACCTAGGACGCAGCTAGTCAGTAATGTCCAAATGCGAAACGAGATATTCATGCGTCTCCTGAGAAAGCAGGGCTCTGGAAGAGGCAAGGCATCTAGGAGGCCTGGCCAGTGCCACTGGTACGGCAAAATCCGCAAAGGAAGGAAAAATGGGTCGGGCTGTGAAGGCTCCATGGCTAAGTCCCCGGCGGCTACCTGAGAGGCGAGAGGGGTCAAAATAGCATTTCAACCATAAGCTGATGGCACTCATCATTGGCTAGAACCAAGGGCAGCCATTCATGAACTTCAAGGCAAATGAGAATGCGAGGGCAGACGGTCCAGGAAAAGAGGAAGGCTGGCCCTCATGCGGCTGCAGGGCGAAACATTCCCGCAACGTAATAACATACCAGTCCCAGTCATCCAAGGCTATTCTGGCTGGGGCAAAGGCAAAGTCCGGGGGACGAATCCACCGCGGAGGCAAAGGCGAAGGCCTGGGCGAAGGCGGGGCTTGGTCAAGCTCCCACTGGAACATGGTGAGAGGCACAACAACATGTGCCGGCAACATAGCTTCTCTAAGGCAGAGACAGGCAGGCTACAGGGCAGTAGCTACGGCTAATCTCGGTTTTCGAGAAGACTCAAGTGCTAGAGCCAGTGCTGCGATGTGCTATAGATTCACATGCCTTCTAAAACATACGTGAACAAAAACACGAAACGACAAGAGCCCGAACAGGGCGAGAGGGATGCAAGCCAGCTGGCAAGCTGGCCTCTTCCGTGCTGGGTTGGGGGGGCAAAGAGACTGCCCGGTGTGCAAGGTCCCCTGTACCCACGCCCTCTTTGACTGTGGGTGGTGGGCCAACAAGGACCTCCCCCTACCAGCTTGGTGGGATCTGGACGCCCAGGCCGCCGACCCCATATTCTTACCTTTGCTCAGCGGAATTTGGAATTTTTTTGGCTTGTTTTTACAAAAGTCTTAAAAAGAACTGATTTCCGAGACATATAAATAAACATCGTGGCCCAAAAAGTTATTTTCGGTTCTCGGGGGCCATGGGTGTCGTTTGTTGTTGTTGTTGCTGTTGTCGTTGTGTTGTCATTGTCTTTGTTGCCTCTGATGTTGCTGTTGTTTATGAC